CAAGCTCAGCGAGCATCTCGAAGTCGACGTCGGGCTCGCTGACGGGTGTGGTCGCCCGAGTGATGTCGCGAGGACGCATCGCAGCCTCAAGCTCTGGACCAATAGTTGACGCCGTATTGAAGCTCCGAGCGCTCGAAGAGCCCACTGGAGTTCCAAAGGATGAGGGTTCGGTGGCAGTTCCATACCGTGTGGCTGTCGGAGCGGGCGCTGCACCCGACGCATAAGATGACGGCTCGGTGGCAGTGCCGTACCGCGTAGCGGTCGGCGTAGCGGGCGGGCCAGACGCGAAGGCGGTCGTGGTTGAGACTGGCGCTGCGGTGGTGTAATTGCTCTGCTGGACAGCTGTCAATGCAGCTTCAGACGAGCTTGAGTTTGGGTGATGAGATGACGGACTCTTCGAACTGGAAGACTTGGACGAAAAGGACTGCGATGAATCAGACGGCATGGAGGGGGGCTGCGCCGTGAGCCGGTCCGACACCGAGGCGGTAGGTGCCGTCGCGGCCTGTGTGCTAGCTTGTGGAATCTCGTATGAGCTGAGGCCGGGTGCTGAACCGTAGTTGCTCGCAGGGTCAGCGAATGATGTTGGCACACTCGGTGTGTCGTACATGCTACCCTGCTGAGCAGTCATCAGAGTGCTAGGCGGGGCAGGCGCGCTGCCGTAGATGCTGCCCTGCTGAGCTGTCATGAGCGTACTCGGAGGCGCAGGCGCGCTTCCGTATGTACTCCCCTGTCCTGCCGTGTGGTAGGTGCTGGGTGTTGGCGCACTCCCGTAAGCCGTTCCAGGCGCGGCGGTGCCAAAAGAGCCAGACGGCGGCACGGAGGCGTAGCTGGTGACTGGTGGCACTGTGTCATAGTTGCTTGGGGTAGCCGCGCTCTGGAAGGAAGTGGGTGGCTGAGCCGAGCTGAAATGGCTGGGCTGCGAGGCAGTACCGAAGCTGCTAGGGTGAGGTACCGTCCCGAACGAGCTTGCGGTCGGTGCCGAGCCATACTGAGTACCTGGCGGAGCTGTGCCGAAGGAGCTTGGAGGCTGGGCCGTGGCGAACGTGCTAGGTGGCTGCGCCAAGCCATATTGACTCCCGTGCGGGGCCGTTCCAAAGGAGCTGGGCGGCATCGCCGTACCAAAAGTGCTCGGTGCAGGGGCTGACCCATACTCCGTCCCAGGCATGGCGGTGCCGAACGAACTCGGAGGTTGAGCTGTGCCAAACGAGCTCGGAGCAGGAGCAGTCCCGAAGGAGCTTGGTGGAGGCATCGAGCCGTACTGGCTCCCAGGCAACGCCGTGCCGAAGCTACTAGGTGGCTGCGCCGTGCCGTACGAGCTTGGGGGAAGTGCAGACCCATACTGGCTACCAGGAGGTGCAGTTCCAAAGCTACTGGGTGTAATCCCAGTACCGTACGCACTGCCAGTGGGTGCTGTAACAAAGCTAGTCGGGGGCTGAGCAGTGTCGTATGCAGTGGGCTGCAAGCTTTCAGCGCTCTGGTGTCCTTGAGTGAATGAGCTCCTCCTTCCTAGCACGACCTCGTCCATCGGCCGGTCATACAGCTGGTACCGGCGGGTCTCGCCAGAGGACCCAGAGCCTTGAGACCGTCCACGAGGAACAGCTGTCCCAGAGCCCGAGCCAGAGCCAGTGGACCCGGTCTGCTCAGCAGAGACAGGCGATCGGCGACGCGGGGTGGACGGTCCGCTGGGAAGTGGGACAGTCAGGGGTGCAGTGACGACGGAAAGAGAAGAGCTCGAGCGTTCGCTCGGCGGAACGGGGGATGGGATGCGGTCACGAGAGTCCGTCGAACCCGGGGTACGGAAGCTGTCACCACTGATCGAAGGTGAGTATTGCATCCGAGGGGAGGTTGGGCCCGAGCGACTCCGGGAAGCTGGGGAACGGCTGAGCGCTGTTCCGAAGCTGCTTGGGGTGCGAGCGGAGGCCTGAGGGGAGAGCGGCGGTGGCGGAATGCCTCGTGCGAACACAAAGTCTCTAGTGGCCGGTTGCTTCGCACTCTCCGGGGTCAGTACACCTGGCGAGGCGTCAACCAGCTCGCGCAGGTCGACGTCACTCGCAACGCGGCGCAGCAACTGCCTTTTCCCACTCCCTGCCGCCAGACGACGTGAGTCGCGAGAGACAAGCGGTGCAGTAAAGCCTCCCGCGGTGCTGACGACCGCATCGTCGGTCGTCTGATGCGCTGTTGGCGGCGAGCCTCCCTTGCTGTATCTGGTCGAACCCGAGCCAGATCCCGGTTCCGACCTGTTACTGAGGGCGGAAGATGCACGCGCGAGTACATGCCGCTGCTCGAGCACCTTCCAAATTAGGCCCGACCACGAGGCTTCTGTCAGCTGACGATCCATCATGAGACTCACCTCGCTCGCGGGCCGAATCAAATGCGATGCGCTCGGTACCGTCGTCGTACACCATCTTGAGAGGGTACAGAATGTCGGCAATGCCCTGCTCCCGCGCGGCGATAGCACTAACATCTGTCGCCTCGGGGTGAGTGGGACAGTACATGGAATGGACTTCTGCTACGTTAGTTATGGCGGACAACCGGCAACTGACCGTCGCAGAACTCGAGGTCCAGAGTCACTTGTGAGTCCGCACCCGCCAGCGTGCGCCAGTTCAGCTGCAGTCCATCGACGTACAGGCGCGCATCTGTCCGCACCCATGCGTACTTCTCGGGGGCGATGGGGTCGTGAACATTGTAGAAATACACAGAACCGATGCGTTGGGGCTAGAGTCAGCGTGCTCGTCACTGCAGCTAACCTGTCCCGTGAGAATTTTGGGCGACGACTTGGCACGAGATGACGGCGCAGGGGAGACATGGCGGGGCAGTTCGTCCGCGGAAGGCTTGTCCGTGGAGGACGGCGACGGTGACTTGGCGCTGCCTCTGTCAGAAGCGACCTCCGCAAGAGTCGAAACACTGTCGTTCCTCCTCCGTCGGCGGAGGCTGAAGTTTGTAGCCCGATCACGATGCAGACTTTGGGGCTCGGCGGCCGTCTCAGTGGCAGTGCGTGCACTCCAAGAGGCAATGATGTTTCTAAAGGAGCTTGATTGTGCGGGCGGTTGGCTAGGCTCCTTCGGGGGTGGTGAGCGACGCCAGGCAGGCAATGGTGAAGTGGGTTTGGGCTTCGGGGAAGGCTGCGAGTAAAGTCGCGTCGCAGGAAGCGGAACAGAAGGGGCTGCAGGCGACGCAGGGGCCGGAACTGTAGCGGTCGGCTTGACAGGTGAGCTCGAATTGGCTGGTGTTGGGAGACCACGCTTCTCGGGCGAGCTCCTGTAGACCGGCGACTGTTGGCTGTCAGATGTCTTTACCTCGAAAAAGTCACGCAGGTTCCTAACGCCCTTGCCTCCACCAATTTTGAGGGGGCTGGACGGCGTAGGTGGCTCATGTAGCTTGGGCGGGCGTACTGGGCCGGCACTGCGACCCGAGTCGCTGGAGCTGGGCTCTGTGTGCTCTGTGAGAGTGTCGAGGATGTCGGGGGAACGGGGGCCGGCACGGATAGAGATCCCCAGCCCATGCAGGCCAAGCTGGGCCGGCATTCTGGGCTGAACGGGCGTTGTGGTCGGTGATGGGGCCGTAGGGGTTCTGGAGAGGTTTGGGGATGGTGGCAGTGAGGTGATCGGGGAAGGTGCCAGCTGTCGAGCTGGGACAGTAGGCGTGGGCGAATCGACCGCTGACGAAGCTGCCAGTGCGTCAAGCTGCGCGAAAACATCATCGTATCGCGCATTGAGCGTCATGAGCGTGCCACCCGTGTGCTGGGGAGACAAGGCCTCTGGGACATGGTGTTGAGGTGAGGGTGAGGTTGTCAAGATATCGGGCACTGAGGATGAGGGGCGTGTCGGCGTCAGGAGTTGGTCTGGGTTGTCTGCGAGCGCGGTCAGAGTCTGCACGACAGGCGAGGGGTTGTTTCCTGTATTGGCTGGGCTCCACCGCCGCGGTGTTGGAGACAACGGCGGCGTGGACGCCATTGTAAAGGTGCCGAAGGTGCCGAGGAAGAAGGAGACTGGGGTATACCTGGCGGAGAGACAGAAGGAGAGAAAGAGAGAGAGAGAGAGAGAGAGAGAGAGAGAGAGAGAGAGAGGTTGGGGTGAAGGGGAAAAAGAGATGAGATAGCTGTCGCAAGGGGATGATAGCTGAAAGTTGATCAGAGGAGGGACAAGGAAGGCCTGTGTGGCCCGACTTGGGTGGTGGTAGCGTGCTTGCTTTTCCTTCGCGGACGGAGTGTTTGGGGTGCAGGCGACCACAGGCGGGGAATGTAGTCAGTGCTCGAGACTTCAGTAGTGTTTGGTCGGGATGACACGCGACCGTTCCGCCCGGATCGCGTCGAGGAGGAGGGCAGTCAGGAGGTGAGGAGGCCGAGGAGCGCGAGGAGGGGTGGCCCTCGTCTCACCACTAATGTTGTGGCAGATGTTTCCGCTCGCGCCGCTCCGCTCGGTGACGGTACGTCCGTGAATTGGGGGTGGGTAGTTGGACTGAGTGAGTGATTATGTCAAGCAACGAATTGTGAGTGGCGAGACTTGGCTGGATGCTTTGGGCCTCGAAACAGAGGGAGACGGGCGGTCAGGCCGAAGAGCTCGAGAGGGCCGAGAGGGGCGGAGGCTAGGAGGCTAGGGAAGGAAGCAAGAAGTCCGCGCGCGGCGCGCGCCGCGACCCGCGAGCTAGGCTGGTCACAGGCGTGAGGGCTGAGAGCTCAGAAGATCAGAGGACACACAATGGGAGGCATGAGAGGGGGGCGAGGTGGTGAGGGAGGCGCTGGGGCCGCCGATCTGGGGTTAACGCGCGTCCGTGACATCGGCGTCCCCATCCGCCCCCTGCGCTCGGACCTCCGCGCTCCTTACGCCAAACAAATATCTCTTTACGAGGCATGCCAGACATGCAAGCGTTGCGTGGCGTTCTTCAGCCGTACTGCCGGCCTTCTGTGAATTCTGCCATCGCTGCCACCTCGTTCCCCGAGTCCCGAGCCTACTGTGACGCCTGGCCTGCTGGCATGCTCGCTGCCTCCGCATACCGATGGACGGGGCGGATATTTCAATGGGTGGATGGCATGTAATGTACAACACGTGGGTAGGTGAAAGTGGAGGTGCCGGCGGGTTGCCTGGTTCTCGTGCGGGTCGCGCTGATTGCGGTGACGTCTGATCGTTCCGATGTACCCTCGGTCGACTCGACGCGACTGTTTTCTCCATACTACTTTTGCTCCTTGATGATGGCCTCTGCGTCGTGTCAGCTTTTCGGCTCGCACTCGCGCCCGGCTCAATCCCAATCCTCATTCCCCAAATTTCCTTGACTCACTCTTGCGCTCGGCCTTGGGCTTCTCCTTGCCCGCACGGGTATGCTTGCGCCTGCGGTCTTCCTTGACCTTGCGCGACTCGAGCATCTCCCGCTTGAGCTTTTGCGTGTTGTGAACGCTGGCGGGAAGGTGACGGCGCTCGGCGATTTGGCGGACGTGCTTCTCCGACGACCACTGTTCCACCAGCTTCTGGCGGTACTCCATGGCCGCGCGTTCCTTGGTGGAGACCGGGCCGAGCTTTTGGGAGGCGTTCGTCTTCCAGATGCGCACGTTACCGTCATCTGATGCCGAGAGCACAAAGTCAGCCGTGGGGGTGTAGGTGACGTCGAAGACGCGCTGCATGCGCTTGGTGTGGTAGACGTCGCGAGACTTGCCCGTGTCGCGTTTCCACAGGCGGACCGTGCGGTCCCAGGATCCTGACACAAACTCCTCTCCTGTTGGACCTGAATTGTCAATACCGACCGTTACGCGCCAAGCACACAGGGATAGACTCACTCCAGTCGCAACCCATGACGCCTCCGACGTGACCCTTGTAGATTTGGGTCGGAGATTCGAGATTACGGATGTCGAACGTGTACAGGTTCTGGTCCTCGGATGCAAGAAGCATGACAGTCGGGAGAGTGGGGCACCACGAGAGAGCGTTGGAGCGCATGTTCATGATGACTCGCCGCTCAGCCTTGCCAGTGCGGATGTCGTACAGGCACATGGTACGGTCTGTCCCCACAGACGCAAGGACGCTGGTCTCACTCTGGTTGAAGCGTACGGAGGTGACTGTCTCCACGGATGAGCCGAATTGCAGGGTTGACAGTGGGCTGGAGCGGTTCTCGTCCCAAATCTGCACAGTGCTCGATGCGGTCGCGAACATGGCATCGCTGCGGTGGTGGTCAATACCGTTGAAGCCGTTTTTGGACGTGTACACCATGCTGGGTTCGAGATTGAGCCCAACGGTGTGCCGCTTGGCCTCATCCATAGCGAGGTCCTCATCGTCATCCTCTCCTACGGCGCCAGCAGTGTCCAACACCTCGTCGCCGCCCTCATCAGTGTCGACCTTGAGGCCCGGTGCAAAAGCGGACGAGCGCCAGATCTTGATCGTTCCGTCAAGCTTGCCGCATGTGACAATTCCGCGCTTGCCGTCACGCGCCTCCGATGTCCAACAGAGTCCACCGACCATGCCCTTGTGCGCATCAATCTTGAGCAACGAGCGGCGTTGCGAGAGCGAATGTACGATAACCTCGCCATCACCGCCGCCCGCTGCGACAACAGACACGCGACGAGGGTCTTTCCCGAGGCAGTATGCACCGTCCTGATGTCCCCCGAGCGAAGCAACGAAGGGCTTGGCGAACATACGGTCCATCTTTGCAGCCGTGATGGCGCGCTGGTACTCGCGCGGCTTGGCGAATGGATGCAGATGGGGCGCCAAATTGCGCTGCAGAGGGTGGGGAGCCGAAGTACTAAGTGTCAGACTGCAACCTGATTGATACGCACGATGAAGGAAGGTGGTCATCGAGCGACCTCGAGATCATCTTAATCTTCTGCGGAGTGTGAGGGGGGCCTTCGTATCTCAGTATCCACAAGAACTTACCACCATGACGAATAGCGAGTCTCGTGATTAAAGCGATAAGTCAAATGAGGGAATTGAAGTGAGCTGAGAGTGTGCTCTGGCGGTCAATCGCTCCTTGATTCTTGTTCTCTTGGGACACGAGATTGTGAGATGGTTGAAGACGGCCAACGGGTTAACCAAAATCAATACCGCACCCGCCACCGCACGTGATCGGCTTATTTGTGCCCTCCTATTAGAGCATCTGAGTCCTCAGGCCGTTTCACATCTTGCAGCCAGCAGCAAGACTCCTTATTACATGCATATATACAAAATGGGATTTCAGACTGGTGACACGGAGGATATGGATATACGGGGAAAACAGACAGAAGACGACTTGAGCGGCGGCTCGGCTCCTAGTCCTCCATCATGAGCCACTCCCGGCTACCGACCTTGACCTTTGGGTTGCCATTCTCGTCTTCCTCGTCTTCGTCCTCCTCTTCCTCAACCTTCTTCTTGCTCTTCGGAGGCGGCGGCGGAAGAGCCTTCACTCCCGGGCCGATAGAAGCGTGCAGAGGGACGATGTTCAGACGTTTCGACATGCCGGTCCGTCTCGCGCCCGGGAATTTGGACAAGACGCCAGCCAGATCATTTCGCGCTGAGCGTCAGTGCATGCGACAGCCGGACGTGACAAGTGGCTTGGGCTTCGGTATGCCCATTCACCGCCTTTGCACTCACGTGTACGCCATCGCCCTCCGCTAGGTGTAGAGGCCGATGACGAAGTCATGTGGTGTGCTGGTCGCAGAACGCGAGTGGCTTTTGGTGTTACCACGGCTGCGGGACTCGAGGAATCCTCGTCCCGCACGTTAGGCGATGATCTCGGTCTTGGGGAGGAATGGTGATCGGGCTCCACTGATGATATCACACCCTCGGTAACAGGCATGTTGGAGCGTTCCCCACTTTCTGCACGTGCACCGCCACATGCCTCGAGCGACGAATTTGCCACGACCTCTGTTGTCGGCCTATCGACGGTGCATGCCATGGCTGCACTTGGAGCGACATGCACGTCACGCTCATCAGCGCATGACGGAGCGGTGGGTAGTGGTGGTATTGAAGCCTCTTCCAAGCCTTGCCGCTGTGACATGGAATGAACAACGGATTGCTTCGCTTGATTCGTCTTCGCCTTCTTCGTCTTCCGCTTCGATGCAGGGAGAGTGGTGTGGGGAAGCGGCTCACCGGAAACCTCAGCAAGAACAGCCGCGGCGGCCTCCTTCGCCTTGCGTTCCGGACGCTTACGCTTCCTGTCGGCGGTGTCGGCCGCCTTTTTGTCCTTTACAGTTTCCTGGCGAGCGGAAGAGCGTCGGGAAGACTCCATGCTGCTGGAAGGCACGTGTGAAGTCTCCGTGGCGAGAGAGAGACCCAGCAACGCGTCATCGGTCCCTGCCGCTCCACCAGTGCCGCCGCTCGGCGCAAAACTGTAACCATCCTGGATATCGCCTGCAGAGTCGAAGTGGATATCGCGAAACTCGGGGGGCACGGAAGGGTCGAGAGCGTCTATCGGATCTGGCGAAAGATGCGAACGAGGATGAGAGGGCACCACGACTTCAACCCGCGTCTGCGGCATGAGGAATGAATAATCGTCGTCGACGGGGTCTGGTGAGAGCAAGTAAGGCCATCGCCTCGACGCTGGTCGATTTGGTGTGAAGGGCGACTCGCCGGTGGACGCTGCTGCAGGCTGTTAGTCGCCACCACGTACACCCACGCACACCCACGCGTACGACATGTCGGGTGAATGAGACTCACGATTAACCGGACGCAGTTCCATTTCACGAGAGTCGTCTGTCGATGCACTGGACAGTGTGTAGGGAGGAAGTGCGCCAACGGCCTGGACCTGCTGGGTGGAAAGCTGAAGGACGCGTTTCAACTCTGCCTCTTCTCGCCGCCGGGACATCAGGCAGAACGCTGCGAGGCGATGCAGTTACGAGAGCGTGTGGCTAGACTGCGACAGTGATTCCGCAGCGAGCCGCGGGGAAGGTTATGCGGGTGTGGAAGTGGTGGCAACACTGTGTGGTGGGGATAGCCGCGAGAGGGTGGGGGATACCCGGACGAGGTTGACGGTGACTTGCCCGAACACCGAGGGGTGGCGAGGAACGATATGAGCGGAATGGGAGCGGAGCGGGGATAGAGGATGGCTTGGGTGAAATGGGTGAGGAGAAAGGGAGTTGGGATGAAGAGCAGCACCGGAGGCGTGCCGAGTGGAGGGTGGGTGTGAGTGCGTGAGTGAGATGATCGAGGAATGGAGAGGTGGAGGTTGACTAAACTTGGGCGTGTTGCCTGCCTGTGCTTTGTTGACGCGACTGTTGGGTGCAGGTGGAGGTTACCGATTTGGTTGTGGAGCGTTTGGTTCCGGCGATTCACGTGCTGTTAGGTAAAGGGTGACGAATCGGAGGTTGAGGGCGCATGCCACGGCAAGCTTCGGGCTTTGGAACGGCCGTAGAGAACCGACATCCACGCAAGGAAGAAAATCCACGTCGATCTTCCTGACTCTGCTACGTCATCCATGCCCTGGCCTTAACGCCGCAGTTTTTCTAACGAAATGTCCGCGTGTCAATTACGACAAGTTTGCTGCCCATGCTGCCGTGTCGAGTACGCGTCGACCGATCTTCGGCACATTATTGTGTAGTGTACCATGCTGTCTCAGTTTCGTTCCGGAGTACATACCCGGGGATTGAATGGATCGAGTGCGGGTAGAAAGGGAGTGGTTGTGGCCAGAGCCCAGCTAGCCTAGGGTGCCTGATCGTCGTTTGCTCGTCTGATCGGGAGATCTTTTGTCGAATTGTCGAGGACTGACGCAAGCCACCACCCGAACAAGTCGTTCCCTGCTGAGCTGCTATCCATCCTACCCAATTACCCAAGCCACCCATGACTACCCACTGGCACGAGGGCCCTGAGGCCCGAGTGGTTTTGTTCGGTCGCCCATGAGAGCAAAGGTCCTTTTTTTCCCAACAGACTCTTCCATGCCCAGTTTTGCCACCCACCACGATATGAAACCCTGCGCGCTCCAGGGACCATGCTCCATGAACCCTGAGGCATGTGGGCTCGTTGTGCCTCGGTTGCTCCACCTGACTTCTGACGTGTAACTCCGTACCTCCTATTCCTCCCAACCCGCAATCCTTTGGAGCGCGTTCTGATGGCTGACGGCGCCCCCCCGCCGCGCGCCGCGACCTATTCATGCCACCCAAGCCATACAGGCCATAGGCCACAGGCCATAGGCCACAGGCCACAGGCCACTAGCGCCCCACAGCAATGAACAACCCGAAGTCTCCCCACCCATGCCACCCAGCGATGACCATGGCTCGTTTCGTTGGAACGCTCCATCACATTGAGTGAGACAACGACATCACGTCCCACACTTCGCTTGGAGGTTGGAGCGCATCGTCACGAAATTCCTCTAGCTTGTGGGCCCAAAGCTCCGCCGAGCACGGTGCTGCGGAGTGGACCTTGCTGGCGATGGAATGAGTTGGCAGTGCCACAGGCCAGGTACACCAGTAACCAGTAAGCATGCAAAGTGATCGGGAGCGTCTGTGGCCGTGGCCGTGTCCGTGGCCCGTGGATGCATGCAAGAATGCATGTCATCGGGGTAATCGCGGCCGGCGGCATGGGGCGTTTGATCGTGGCAGGCATGTAGGCAGAGGAGGAGAGATTAAGACGATTAGTACCGGCGGTGCATGACAAGCATTCCGCGAGCTAACGTGCCGCCTTAACGCCCTCCCGACATGATTCCGAGTCACCCGCTTCACCCGTCATACCCGCGCGCCCAACGAGCGGCGCACCTCCTCTGCACCCAGGCACTAGAGTCGAAAAGGGCGGGACCGGCCGGGGGTGGGCCACAGACGATGGGCCATGGGCGACTCCAGGCTCCACTGATTTCAGGCTTGCAATCCTCGGGGTGTTCCTGAGATAATGACCCCGCCGCCCCGAGAGTGGGACTGAGCATCACCCGGCACGCCAGTATGCGCGACACCAGGCGCGCCGCAGAACAATGCACAGCCGGCGATGGCTTGGGCATGAGCACCGCCGGGCTATCTTGGCCACCTGGCCACCTCTGGGCAAAGTCGGTGCGGGCCGAGATCCACATAAAAAAAGTATGTAAGGACGCGCGAGACCAAGACCCAAGTTTTATCTCGAACGCCTCGTCAGAGATTCAGTTATTAACCACCCCTTTGCACCCTATCAAGTGTCATCCCCATCTCACATCACACACACATACGCACGCACGCACGCGCCACACACCACTCGTCGCCGCCTCCAATCACACGAAATCATCAAATCCTCCGCCCATTCCCTGCCGGAGCGCCCGAGCGCCCGCACGCACGCACTCGCGCACGCACCACACACAACACACTCGCGCAGCTAGTTACACCGCACCCCTCCTCCCGCACCCGCACCCGCACCCGACGCCGTACGCCGGAGCGCCAGCAATCAATTCTATTACTCTCTCGATCCACCGATCATCACCATCACCATCACCAGCAATATCACCACCACCACCACCACCATCACCGCCATTTCCACCCCCCCCGCCACGCCCCTCCCTCCATCCCCCCCCCCCCCCCCCCCCCCCCCCCCCCCCCCCCCCCCCCCCCCCCTCATCACTCCTTCCGGTAGCATTCTCGCCTTGTCTCTTGCATCACCCTCTGCTTCCCTCCTCCGTTAATCCCAACTACCCCGCCGCCTGAGCACTCGGATCAGTCACAGCATCTCTTCTATCCCGGCCCCCCGGCCTCTCCCCACAACCACCACCCCACAGCCCCCTTTCTCCACCTACCTCCCCTCTTCACTCATTCACCATTTCGTCCATCGCCGCCATCCGTCCATCTCATCACCCTCTCCATTTACCCCATCACTCCACAATAACCGCCACACTGTCGACCCCCACATCGCGGCACTCGCCGTACTCGCGCGACTCGGGATCGCGGTCACCCAAGTCGCCACTTGATGCGAGACACTCAAGCCGCTCTGTGTCTGCGTCCTCGTCGTCAGACCACGCCAACACCGTGTCCGACATTATCGTTCCCAATTCGCCCGAACGGCGGGGCAGCGTTTCTTCAGTCTGCCGTGTTTCCTCTGCTCGCACCTCACCCCGCGCCCAACGTGTCATTGGAGGTCTTCCACGCTCCAAGATGGGTCACTTCGATCGCGACCGCGAAGGTCAGCGACCAATGTCAAACGGCCACCCGCCAGTCACGAGCCCGTCGGCTGGGGTCCATGCCAATGTCGTCCACATCAATGGCTACCGCTATAACCCTGCCGTCGCCGCCGTCCTAGAGCATTTTGCCGACGTGCGTGCTGAGCTCGAACGCGCAGAGTCTCGCGAAGACAAGGCGGCCATTATAACCATGTTGCTGGACACGCTGCCACCCTCTCTTGGCAAGGCTGCACGTCATCATGTCATGCGTCAGCTCTCGCAAGGCATCTCCGTCAACATCGACGACCTGGTAAATTACCTCGCAAAGCTGGAAATGGCCTCTGCTCTGGCGACGCCTCGGCAATCACCAACGCCGCCTCCGAATTCCTTCAAGCTTTCGCCGCTCAGACTTTCTCCCTCCAAGCGCTACAAGCCGCCAATATCCGCGGAGCGCGAGACCGGAGGAGACTACATCGACTTTGCGCCCTCTCGTCCACACGTCCGCAACCTCTTGCTCAACGAAGATGGCAAGGCCAGGCAACCTAACGGTGACGCCTCGAGCCAGGAGTAGAATGGTATGCAAGTCGCGACAGAGGTCCCGTGAGCGGCGTCGTCCCCCCCCCCCCCCCCCCCCCCCCCCCCCCCCCCCCCCCCCCCCCC